GCGGCAGTACGAACTCTTGTGATGGGAGACGCCTCCGTCAGCCTTCTGTGTTTCTCTCCACCATTCTGCATCCTTGACGAACCCTTCCTCCTCCTCCTCCTCCTCCTCCTCCTCTACTCCTCCTTTACTCCTCACCCCTCCTCCCTGAAAGAAACCCTCTGACCACCCCCTCCTGTCGAGGACTATGAAGTACTACTGAAGTGTGTCAAATCCTCTTCCTCTTCTTAACTTCTTAGCTTTTTGTACGTTAATTTTTTTTTTTTCTCTCTGAGACCGATTCCTCCCCGTTTTCACCGATGTGAAAGGAAGGTTTGGGAACAAAGTTGTTGCGTGCCGTTTCTTTCCTTCCTTTTCTTTTAATCCCTTTTGAATGCCTTGATTTTTGTCATTCCACTAAGCCTTGGGCTACCTCCTATTTTTTTTTTTTTTTTTTTTTTTTGCCCCTTTGTGTCCTGTTTTTTTTTTGTGGCTTTGTCATTGGACCTGGACTGGTGGGTGTGGATACATAAAAACACACCTACAGGACCTCAGTGTAGAGGCAGTGTGTGTGTGTTCAAGTGTGTGTGAAGGAGGAATGCCATGTGAGCGAGCGCATGTGTTTATGTTTGTGTGTCACCTGCTGGGTAAAGCTGGCATCACCACCATGACCTTTGCCCCCCCCCCCCCCCCCCCTTCCCCACCCCTTCTATTTTATTTGTTTTGCCCCGTCACCCCCTCTGCCCTGCGTCTCCTCTCCTCGGGACGACACCCCCCGGAGAGAGAGATGGGGGAGGGGAACCGAGTGGATGAAGAGATAAATGCACTTTGCATCAGGTTCCTTAATATTTTTATTTTTTTTGGTTGTTGTTGTTGTTTTTTCTCCAGAGGAAGCATACACACAATGTAGCATCACAATATTTATTACCCCGTCACGATGTTAGCTTGCCGAGCGGCCGAGAGACGAGTGGAGCGGAGAGTGTGAGGGGTGGGGGGGGGGCAGGAAACACGAAGAAGAAGGATTTAAATGAAGGAAAAGGGACTGAGCTCTCTGCACCTTAGCCCTGCTGCCTCCACGGACTCGGACCTGCCTCCTTTTTCCACACAAACCACCCTTTTAGCTTAGAGATACTGATGGGAGGGGGGGGGGGGGCGGGAGGGGTGGAGGGACGGGAGAGAAAAATGTATTGTTCTCTTTTTTTTTTTCTTTCTTTTTTTTGTTAACTTGTACACTGTGCAAGGTTGAATTATCCTGTACAGACTGTAAAATGTAATATTATTTTGTACAACTTAATTGAAAGAAAAACAAATCTACTTGTAGATCTTTGTGCCTTGATTATGGCTGTACCTGTAAATGAGCTCAGATGTAAGTATGTTTTCGACTGCGCTGTACAGCTTGATGTCAATCTCTATCAGCAGCGGAAGACTGCGGGTAGGGGACTTTCTCTGTAGAGTTTAGTTTTTTCTGGTTTATAAAAAAAAAAGGAAATGCTGTTTAGTAAAAAATAAAAAATAGGGAAAAAATCCTAAAAACCTGTATACATTATGCAAATTAACCACTTACCTGCAGTGAAGACCAGATGTTGCAGCGCCATGCCTTTTTTTCTTTCGTTCTTTTGTTGGTTTTATTTTTCCTCCTTTTTGATTTTAATTTTATTTTGAATTTCACAGCTTTAAACAAACATTGGAAATCCATTGAAAGTGTCCAAATTGCAACCTGGTGTTGTTTTAATAGGAACCAACGTTTTTTCGATATGAAGTGTGTCTGAGATCTGTACTGATGTGCGTGCCTGTGCGCATGTGTACATAAAACAAACATAGACTCACAGACGCATTGTGTGTGTGCGTGAGCGTGCGAGGGCGAGTGTGCGTTGTGTGTAAAATTTTATAAATGTATGTACATGTAAATTTATAGGTCTATATAAATATATATGTACAATTATACATGTTTAATTATGTGTGTGCCTAGGTGTACATACCTATGTATGTATACGGTAAATATGTATACATACACACATAGGAAAGCATGTTTAGAATGGAGATGAATAAATGAGAGCGTGCAATATTAGTAATTCTTTGGTCCTTTGGAGCCATACCCAATGGCACAGGCACTATGAATGTGTGAGCAGCACCCAACAAGACAAGCTCTTCTCCTTGTACAAACAGCATCAGCCTTTTCTTCTGCTACAGTACACGTCTATCCCCAAAAGAGAGTGAACTGACTGGAGGTGCAAAAACCTTGTTTGGCCTGGGAGGATGATTAAATGACATTTTTATTTTCTTTAAATAAAGAGGCACATTAGAGGACTTTGCTTTATTTCCATCTTGGTGTCCAGTTGTGTCCAGATTTGTTGTTTTCTTTGTGGATGTTGCAGAAGGGTTTAAGTGTCATTTAAAAAAAAGTTATTCTGATTTCCCGAGAGGAAGAAAAATGTCTGCATCAAAAAATGTTAGATTAGTATTTTTAATATTTTACTTTAGTTCTCATTTTAAATACAGAAATGTGATTATTTCATAATTTTAACCATTTAAATGACAGATTGTTTACACAAGGCCATTGTTGTTATGAAAAGAAAACCTTTTATCATTTTCTGTATAATTAATGGAAGGGGATTTATACTTTCTTTACAGTAGACAAACATATGTCAATGATTGGGTAGAGTGTGGATTTTGATGCATTTCTTATGTCGGTGTTTAAAACAAAACAAACACTTTTTACTTCATAAGGTGACAAAGAATATTTAGAAAATCTAATTTAATATGATTTTTAATATATTTAAATGTTAAGCAAGATCATCCATAATCACCACAAACAAGTCGTCATTCTAGTTTTTTTAATAAAAAAAAAGCCCACAAATATTACACTTATCCTGTAAACTAGAGTATTAATTTTGGCAAGGCAAGGCAAGTATATATATAGCACCTTTCAACACAAGGCAATTCAAAGTGCTTTACAAAAATGAAAGACTTGGAAATGGCATTTAAAAACACCATTTACAGGGTCTCCGCGGGGTCTTAAAAAGTATTAAAAGTTGATAAATCAATTTAGCGAAAATTAAGGCTATTAAAAAGTATTAAACGGCATTTTCCAAGGTATTAAATTTTGTAGCTTGTTTTCAATAAGTATATAAATTGTCCAAAGAGGTTGTATTCTACAGTGTGCCTGAATGTAATCATTGCGTAGGTGTGTAGTGTGATTCTGTGTAGTTTATTTATGGCATCCCGTTGGATTTGACGTCATCTGAACAGGACATCGCACGCTCACTGCTTGATAGCGCGCGCAGGTCCGTTTACGCCGGTTGTTAAACAACATCGTTATGGGGAAATGCAAGTTTGCGTCTAAATGGTTGGAAGATAAGGAGGAAGGACAATCAATACTGTATATAGTAAATGTGAGGTAAAGTGTGTCGCCAATGTAACCGGTTAAAACTCCAAGTGGCGATGAGGTCTTAAAATGTATGGGAAGGGTCTTAAAAAAGGTCTTAAAAGGTATTACATCTGACTTCAGGATTCCTGCCTATACCCTGATTTATCATGGACTTATTATAGGAGCTGGGGTTAAACTTCCCCCTAGCACCCTAGCTAAAATGTAAGAGATACGCATGAACAAAGCTAAAATGATCTGAAAATGTCCCTGTTGAGGCTCGAGGGTTGTTATGAGGGGTTACAGTATCCGAGGGGCATGGGTTACAGCAGAGTGTTTTGGTGTAAATACAGGTGGTTTTCACACCTCACATTTGAACTTGTATGAGGAAAAGTACAGGTGTTACTGACCACATTAGAGAAGGCTCAAGTGTCCCGGACAGCAAAGACAGGGAATCAAAGTGCAAAACAACAGAACCCTAAAACTAAAGCAGCTAAAAGGAATTTAACTCATTCATTTGATTATTGACCCTTATGCTTTTTCTAGTGGCTGCTGTGAAAAAGGCCCATTGATATATATTACAAATTGTACTGAAATACAAGAAATGTTTTCATCATATGCCCAACAACAATTACATAGAATGAGTCAGTCTTAAATCTAAGGCCTCCACCAACAATGCTAATTAAATATATTTACGTTATTTAAGTTAAAAAAACATATTAAATGATCACATAGAAATTGAAAAGCCAAACATTAAGAAGTGCCAGTTTTAATGAGTAGGCTATGTCTTAATTTGGTTATTCTGATCATTTAGTGATAATTTCATTCATAATTTAATTGTTAAAGGTAGGGTAGGTAAGTTTGAGAAACCGGCTCGAGATCGCTAGAATTTGAAAATACACAACCGGAGAAAATCTGCCACTTCCTTACAGAGCCCCTCCTCCAACACACACGAACGCGCACATGACCAATGAGGGCACGAGATAAGTTTGTGCACAGATGGAAGGCTGACAGGCAGGTAGGCCATCCAGTTATTTTAGCCGGGCCGGCTAAAGTGATTGGTCGTGCTTTTTACAGTATTACGGCTTCCACAGATGACATTTTTTTATGGATTTTTTGTCAAAGCACTTAAGATATTCATTGCTATCGGGATGTTAAGAGCATTCCATGGAATATAACACAATCTCGAGCCGGTTTCTCAAACTTACCTACCCTACCTTTAAGTATTATAAGGCAGAATTGTTGAAATCCTTAGTTTCTCAAACGCCAGGATTCATTCATTTATTAATTCTATGTCAGCTTAATCACTTAAAACTAACACAAATGTAAAGATATTATTTTGGGCTCTGAGAAATTGTGACATACATATTTCATATTTTTTAGCACTTTTTATAGACTAACGATGAATCAATAGATGAATTGAAAATACTTTATTTGTACTTGCTTCCCATTTCTTGAACATTCCAGGTAAATCTTCATATTGATGCAAAAATCTTATAAAAAATCTGCTTTTTGTTTTTGCTAAATTGACACATAATGACCTCACAAAGATATTTCACAGTTCGCGACACAATGTTTCCAACCTTTGACAAATGTATAAGTTCCCAGCTCATATTATCCAGCTCTAATACAAACACTAAGAGACAAATGGAAGCAGGAATCATATCTCAATATCAGGGACATTTGCCCAATAATATTTTAATATTTTTCTCATTTCACATGATTTGGCGTTACAAATACAGGTTTGTGTTTCAATCACATCCATCAGCTGGTGTAGAACATCTCAAAATAATCTCTCTTCCATAAAGTGACATGGCTTCAGGTGATAGATTACATCGCTAAAAACAGACCTTAAGATTCTCATTTGTTATTTACAGTTTCAACAAATTTGGCAAAAACCTTCACAAACATTTGGCACAGAAAGTCAGCAATAAATATTTTCAGATATGCTTCATAGTAAAAACAACGAGGAACCTGGGAGGAGATCATCAGACGACAGAGAGGAAAGGTGAGATGTGCTTTTACATTAAAGTGAAGAGACAAAAACTGACTTTACCACCTGAAATCAGACCGTGAGCATTTACACATGTACTTTGTGTTCCTTTTGTTCTTACTTTATGGCACATTTGTGCTTCCTTATACTCACAGTTTAACTGTAAAGTCAATATTTTACTTTTCTGTGCTTCTTGTGCTACAATAATCTCTACCCGTTTGGCACTCCCAAGGAATATAAAACCAACACTATATGATTTTTAACAACAATTTGGCACAAAAATCATCTGCTTTCTCATAAATATCACACGTCTTTTTAAGACATTTAAAACATATATAAGTGTCCTTCACAGTGCCGTAAAACATTTGGACAAACAGCTTTGTAGAGGAACTTCACATTTAAGTCCAGTGAGCTCTCCTGGTGCACTCTGGGAAATGTAGTTCACAGAGACTTGTGCTTCCCCAGCAGGCTGAGGCACTGCAGCAGGCCCTTCATCCACACACAGTGGGCGAGGAGCAGCAGCAGCAGGCAGCCGCCGGCCGAGCAGTACACCCCGATCACCGTGCTCTCCTCCGGGAGGAAACACTTGGACATGGCGAAGCTGCCGGGGGACACCGAGGCCTGAGAGGAGAGGGGGGGGGGAGACAGGGAGATAATAGAAGTTAGAGGTGATAAGCAGTGCAAAACAAAGAGTCGATGTTTACAAGATTTTTGCATCAATATTAAGATTTGCTTGGAATTTTGAAGAAATGGGACGCAACTAAAGAAAACATTATTTTCAATTGATCTATTGATTCATTTTCAGTCTATAAAAACAGCACACAAATATGAAAATGTATTTCTCAATTTCTCAGAGCCCAAAACAATTTACATGTATATATATGATATTCATTTTTAGTTATGTTTAAGTGATTAAGCTGAAATAAAATCAGAATCCTGGCATTTGAGAAACTAAGGACTACAGCCTTATAATACTTTACAATTACATGATAAATTAAACTATCACTACATCAGAATAACCACATTTTAGACATACTAATTATAACGCACACTACTTAATGTTTGGCTTTTCAATTTGTTTGGTGCTTAAAGGGCCTTGGCCACCAGGGGGCGTCCCAAACACACTTCTTATGGTTCCCTTGCTGCACATTTTCATATTAATCTGACTATTCAAACATACAATCTCTGATTTTGTATTGCCCCTATAACAGAGCTTGATAGGTTGGTTTGACATTTTGCAGATATAGTTACACATTTTGGAGGACACAAGAATATATTTAAAAAAAGGAAATCTCACCACACTATTTAACATTAAATCACATCATGTTTATTTATTGTAGATATTCATATTGCAATGTTATGTTGCTGTATGGGGGGCCATGGTAGGCACAAATGTAAGGAGCCAGGAGAGGGGGTTAATATTCGGAGAAGACAAAAGAGAACTCAGAGATCATAGAAATATCATAGCCTAAAACTACTCCTGCCTCACTGACTCTCTACTATAACAATAATATAAGGAATTTATAAAGATCTTTTCTAAGTAATCCAAGACACTTGCATAACTACAGAGATCAGATCAAACTCATAAGTCATGAAATGAGGGAAGGAGTTTATCAGGAGAACTCGGGAATGGAGAGGTGAGTGTTTTTTTTGCTCACCAGGATGAAACTGGGGTTGTTTCTGTTCCTCCAGCTGAAGGACGGCACGCTGATTTCAGGGTACTTGTTGTCATGGAGAACCTCACATCCGCTGTGTGTGTGTCCACTGAGGATGAGGCGAGGCTTGAACCACTGCAGCAGCTGAGCACAGAAAACACATCGCGGCTCATCATCTGATCACACGGGAACATTTCTGACATGAACATTCAAGCATTCAAGGTTCAAGGCTTTTATTGTCATGTGTGCATAGCTACAGTGTAGTTATGACAATTAAAGGTCTTAGTTCACAGGCTCCTCCAACAGTGCAACTCAATAAATCAGATAATAGTTTCAAGTAAATAAAATAAAATAGGATATAAATAGTGCAGAATAGTCTACATACAAGTAATTGGAATATTGATATATATAAGTTGCAAACAGATGCATGTTATGGATGTTGAAAATGAGTTTTAATTGGATAAAACCGCTTCAGAGGAGATGTGTGCTGTAAGAGAAGGAGGGATAATGTTGTGTGTCTGCAGACCCTCACCCTCTGGGACGCCTCTTTAGACAACACGTCGTACTTCTCTCTGAACAGCAGGTGGCGCTCTTCAGGAGGAGCCGCGTCCTGCCCCGTGCAGCCGGCATCGCTCACTCTGAACAGAGGGTAGTGCTGCAGACAGAGGAGCATTGATTATAATACTCCATACAGTATATGTGGTCTAGTTCAGAAGGCGTTATATTACAGTAAAGAAATATAAGATGAAATTAAACAAATTATAAGAAATTAAAAAATGTAAAATAAAATAAATTACAAAGAAAACAACAATAAATAACAGAATAAATATTCCAAGATAAAACTGAGCAATCATATTAATAACAATAATAATAATAATAATAATAATAATAATAATAATAATAATAATAATAACAACAGGTACAGTATGCTAAGAACTAAAAGACATGTCAAATATAGAAAAACAAGGCATGAAAATAACACAAAAAGTAATAAGGATAGGAAAGAGGGGCAACATTCATTAAAAACATAAATATTGAAAATTAAAAATCATGTTATTTTGTTATGCAAGGGTGACATCCCAGAGTTAGAGAGAAGACTAAGTGGGCTATTTTATTCCAAAAAGAGCGGGACAACAGCAAACATATGTACAAATGACTACTTTTGTTTTTTATTTTGTATTCTACATTTGTCTTATATTATGTTTTCATTAGCAAAACTCTAATGCAGGGTTGTCAAGCTCAAATACACAGTGGGCCAAAATAAAAAAATCGGTACTAGTCGAGGGCCGGACTGGTTCAATGTTTATTGCAGAACTTATTGAAATGAACTTATTGCACATATTAAACCTGGAACTAACAAAGCTTAAATTATTGCCTATAAAAACAACATTAAACATTAAATAATCAGTTGCATTCATTTCTTATGGCTCTATCTGCAGCTTTTCCAGAGTCATTTCTTATGATTACATTTTTCCACAGGCCAACAGCTTCAAAAAAACAATTTCCCTCAAAGAAAAAAACAAACCTGCCCTGTTGCCACTAGAAAAAAAAGTGCATCCATGTAAACTCAGTGTGCTGCTCTGTGATGCTAGTTGAAGCCAGATACTTGGCATCTCATCTTGGGTGCAAGTTCATCAATGTTTGGGCTCAGGCTCTGAGATGAGGAAACCCTCAGGATTGAGTGAAGGTGTGCGTGCAATATACCGGCGGGCCAGATCTAATAGTAATTAAAAATTATCCTGCGGGCCGAAATTAAATCCACCAAGGGCCTGATTTGGCCCCCGGGCCTTGAGTTTGACACATGTGCTCTATGAAGTGCTACAAATCATTTTCTATATCTTAAAGGTGGGGTAGGTAATTTTGGAGAAACCAGCTCGAGTGCGCTAGAATTTGAAAATACACAACCGGAAAAAATCTGCCACTTCCTTATAGAGCCCCTCCTCCAACACACACGATCGCGCACATGACCAATGAGGGCACGAGATAAGTTTGTGCACAGATGGAAGGCTGACAGGCAGGTAGGCCATCCAGTTATTTTAGCCGGGCCGGCTAAAATGATTGGTCGTGCTTTTTACAGTACTACGGCTTCCACAGATGACATTTTTTTATGGATTTGTTGTCAAAGCACTTAAGATATTCATTGCTATCGGGATGTTAAGAGCATTCCATGGAATATAACAAAAAGTGTATCTCGAGCCGGTTTCTCAAACTTACCTACCCCACCTTTAAGGTATACAAGTTGAAAAAATCTTTATCTTCTTTAACTGTGTTTATGTGTTCACCGTGTACACCAAGACAAATTCCTGGTATGTGTAAACTTAGTGATTTCTGATTCTCACACAAAAAGAAGCAGCAGAGAAACTGTTCGGAAAAACGTCCAGATCTGGAAAAGCTTTTGTGCTAAATGAGTAAAATAATAAATGAGTCAATCAACAGAAATTGAGTTGTCAACGATTGATTTGAACGTCATTGCTTCAGCTTGTCTGAACTAAACCTGCCAGGAGATGGAGCTGTGGAAACCAGAAGGGATTTGATTTACAGAGACAACAAACAGATGGATCCACATTAGAGAAACAGGAACACATTTCTACTCAACAAATTAATGCACACAATAAATCAGCTGCTCACATTGTCTTTGCTCAGTTGAGTAAATGTTTACAGGGTTGGTTTGGAAATGTTTGAATTTGTCTTAACACAATATTCACATGTGTGTGCGTGCGTGCGTGCGTGTGTGTGTGCGTGTGCGTGTGCGTGTGTGTGTGTGTGTGCGTGTGCGTGTGCGTGTGTGTGTGTGTGTGTATGTGTGTGTGTGTGTGTGTGCGTGTGTGTGTGTGTGTGTGTGTGTGTGTGTGTGTGTGTGTGTGTGTGTGTGTGTGTGTGTGTGTGTGTACATTAAAACAGCTGCTGGTCGCTGCAATGTTTATTCTGGCTATGAAGGAAGCCTCTCTAGTGAAAACAATGTGAGACAGAATCCACATGCCTTAAAGACAATATGGAGCTTCAGCAGTGGGAGTTTATGACGACAAGCAAAGGAAACAGCCTGGGAATAAAGGGAATTTGGATTCAGAAGTAAATGAATTTGTAAAACAGTTAATGAGGAACAATCCAGTGACCAGTGAAGCATTTGATTCACAGAGTTTGTGAGTATTATATCAAGATTTCATTAATCCTTTCATTAATTCAGCACTAATCTACAGACACACATGCAGTGGTGACAGTACATTTACTCTGCTGTACGATTTTGACAAACTGGTACGTTACTTGAGTATTTCCATTGTGTGCTACTTTGTACCCTTACTTTACACATGCCTTGATGTGTAATTGTTAATTATGAAGAAAGTAAAGATATGTTTTAATATATAAATGAGAAAGGAGACATGCTGCAGAGTTGGTACTTTTACATTTTATAATTAAAGAACATTTTGCTGATAATACTTCTGTATTCTTACTTAAAGGTGGGGTAGGTCATTTTGGAGAAACCAGCTCGAGATCGCTAGAATTTGAAAATACACAACCGGAAAAAATCTGCCACTTCCTTACAGAGCCCCTCCTCCAACACACACGAACGCGCACATGACCAATGAGGGCACGAGATAAGTTTGTGCACAGATGGAAGGCTGACAGGCAGGTAGGCCATCCAGTTATTTTAGCTGGGCCGGCTAAAATGATTGGTCGTGCTTTTTACAGTACTACGGCTTCCACAGATAACATTTTTTTATGGATTTTTTGTCAAAGCACTTAAGATATTCATTGCTATCGGGATGTTAAGAGCATTCCATGGAATATAACAAAAAGTGTATCTCGAGCCGGTTTCTCAAACTTACCTACCCCACCTTTAAGTAAAAAAAAAATGCAGGAATTTGACTTGTAATGGAGTATTTTAAAGATTGTATCCATCCCAAATTGTATCCAAATTATGGTATTTCTACTTCTACTTGAGTAAAGGATTTGGTATACTAGTGTATGTATCTCACATTAGTTCTATGTTGAATAACAACATTGAAATGCTCTTAATTGTAATTGTTGATGATACAGAAAATAATAATATGATATGATAAAACAGTGTGAAAGGACTTGATGGTTCTACTTTGACTTGAGCACAGGATCTGAGTCTGAGTACATGCAGTAAGTAAAGTGAAGCTGCAGTTTACCTGCAACATGATGGGGGGGGTGGGCGGGTACGTCTGCGATCCCTCACAGCTGCCCGAGTTCTGCAGAAAAGACGACATAAACAATTCATCGTTTGTCTTGTACACAAACTCACCATGCGTCCTCAAAAATCCCTCTTATTTCACATCTCCCCATTCTTTCTATTTTAAGATTTGTGCTGTTTGCAGGACGACAGAAAAGCGTTTAGCCTCCGCTTTAAGGTGTCTTTAAAAAGGACTCAACACCTGCTGCAGGTACGGCGTATAGCTTTGGATATAAGTGTGTTTTTTCACGAGTGTGTTGCAGGTGCTGACAGCGTAACAGTGTGTGAGAGATGTTTCCTCCTCACCTGAAGAGAACAGTTGAGGTCTCTGGAGAGTTTGATCAGCTCCTTCTCCACAGACTGGCAGATGGGACACCCGTCGCCGTGCAGCGCCACGCTGTTCACCAGCAGGAAGCTGAGCAAAGGGAGGAAATAAACTCAGTAACTCTGGCACAAAGTCCAAAAGAGCTGCAGAGATTAATCATATTATGCTGTTTTAATTCTGGGTGCTTTAAAGAGCTGGTTCGGATGTTTTTAGGAGGGGTTATATGAGGTACTTATCCAGAGTCAGTATGAGATTAGGTAGCTCAGGAGTACTAGCACACATCAAAATCAGAATTGGGTTTATAACCAGGTTGGTTAAACATACGAGGAATGTTCTTAGTATAACTGGTGCATACAGACAAAGAAAGAGGACATATCTTTTTTAAAAGACTATTGTAACAATGAAAAAATAAGGCAATATTTCCACAAAAAATTCAAGTACAGTCGATACTAAATTATGCATTGTATTGCTATGGACAGGGGCAGCAGGGGGATGCTTTCTGGCCACATAAATAAATCAATATCAGTTTGTATTTCAAATATTTTCACCACTTCATCTCCCCGTCAGACAGCCCTTTCCGACGGGGAAGAGAAGCCTTTATATCCATGTATGTTTTCTTAACAAACACCATGACTCCATTGACAAAATCAACAATTTGACTTCACAGATCATGGGAGATGCTTTTGTACTGCTGTCTTGATCAGTTAGTGTGTTTGTCTTACTTTGGTGTTTCAAAGGGTTAGTTTAGATTCAACTAAATCGCACAATAACACAAACACGCTAAGTCATCGATGCTGGAAAGTCCGGCAACTTCAGTTTTTGACAAAGTAAAAGGACTGTTTTTCTCCAAGGAGTCTGGTGCATAGGTAAGGGTTCCAGGTCCCTGTCAGTTAGGGATGGCTGACGTGATGTAAGGCAGTGAAAATATGATAAATATAGTGTACACCTCAGCAGATTCTTTTTAGATGGGCATTTTTTTAGGAGGATTAAATGCATGTTGCTGCTGCCCACGTTCACAGTAAGACACTGCTTTTCTCCATCTGTTTCCAAACTGGAGAAATCCTTCAAACTACTTTATTCGCAATAGAAACCTAATTAAATTGCTTTCAGGAAATCAAGGACAAACTTGAAGGACTTTCAGGACTGTGACAAAAATAAGTGTCTTGATAAAAAGTAGGTTTGCTGCAGCAGCACAGTGTGAACACAGTGATGCAATTTGTCATGTACCTGTAAGTAGAACACTTCACGGCCTGTTTTCTTTTATTAAATCACGTTGTTCTATAATAGACTGACTCAGTGGATTAAACCTGTGACCTTCAAGCCTTCTGAGTTAAATTCCTGCAGGGTTATCGTGTGAATTGCATCCTCTTGTCACTCACTTGACTCCCTTTTTGGTGACGATCCTGGTGGAGGAGGCGTTGAAGACCTTCTCGAAGCGCTGCAGCTTGAACCAGTCCATCCTGCAGGGAGACACAACACGCTCGTCACAACGTAAACAAACAACAACAATACAAGGAACCTGCTGCTCAGTCTTTCACGTCTTCTCGTTCCAACAGAGTCTGATCAGAGCACATACTGTATGTCTGCATTTTCCCACATTTCTGAAAACCAGGCATCGAATACTGAACTGCAGGATGTTTTTATGAGTCCTTTGGTATTTACTTTTGCCACTACATACAGAGGGGGAGGGGGGGGCACAATATGACATCCAATACAGGCTCTAAAATAAGCATAATGTATAATAAAGACCTCTGTGGTACAAGTAAAGCATTATAATGTCAGGTGAAGCTTTTATTTTTACATAGGCAACGTATATCTGGAACCAACTCCCTTAAAATAAACAATCTTCTTAGAGTAAACCAAAGATGAATACTTTGTGTTTGCAGCTGACTTTTTAATCAATCACTTATTTTTTACACTGCAACTGTGATGTCTAGTCTTGCATTGTGTAACTGTATTATGCTATGTAACCTTGAGTCCTTTTGTATTCTCTTGTCCTTTGGGTTGTTTTTTTAGCACTTTGTCCTGATGCTTTAGATATTTTAATAGAACACTTTTAAAATGCTTTGTTGCTGGAATGTGCTTTGTAAATTAACTTTCCTTGCTTTTTGGTTTTCTGACAATATACAAAACATAATGACGTCCGAAAACTAAACACCTCAGTGACCTCAGAGGTATCTATGAACCTCTTTATTGCATCATTAGCAAATATATCCTTGAAGGTTATGGACAGTCCTTTTGTTCTCACTGTTTGCTGAGTCGCTGCAATAGGAGGAGGGTTTTGTTGACATTTTTCTGGCAGCTAACGTGACACACTCCCTGAACTCTTCACATTGTTATCCTGATTAACCTGAACCTGATCAGGCGGTTTATTAGACTAAAGGTTGAACAATAGGAAAAACTGCTCTTACTCATAATGGAAGCCGATGTCGTGATTTCCAACCAGCACAACCAGTTCTGTTTCAGCCGAGTGTCTGAACATCCTATGGAAGCGCCGCACGTCGTCCTCCCAGTGCTGCAGAGAGAGAAACAACAACAACACAAACACACGGGTTCAGCAAAGCCGTTAATAAGACAACAGTCCTCTGGGAAGCTCATGAGAGTTAATGGGATCTCTGAGGGTCACCCCGCAGCCCCCATGGGTGACTTAGCTTTGATTCAGAGCCAGTGTTGAACCTCAGGGGCTGAAGACGCTCACAGGAGGCCTTTAATTACATCAGAGCTACGAGATGTTTTCATACTGATTTCTCTAAATGACTCCTGAGGCTGGTTTTAATTAGGGCTGACTGACAGATGATTAATTTACATTATTTTAATAATAATCGAGTCATCTTTGAAGTCAATTATCCGGCAAAATTGTAAATTACGTTATGTAATATGCATTTTCTTATTTTTTTGTAAAATGTTTAAAGGGTTCGTATTTGTATTTTGTGCCTCTCCTGTCTCCATGCTTTAATGTTCAAACATGTATTTATTATTCTCATACTGCCTGAGCTGCAGCACCTCTTTTAACCCCCTGATTGGTCAAGAGCTTAGAGATGTCCCGCCCCTTAGCCTATCACGTACAGTGTGTTGGAGTGCTAGCCAATAGAAGCCCTAATATTACATAGTGATGTCACTATGTTACAGAAGTAAACAAAGGAGTCACTAAAACCTATACTATATAACACACTACAGGAAAGTGAAAACCAAAAAAGCATAATAGGGCTCGTTATATTTGGGTTTTGGTCAAGGCAATTTGAAGACAACCCTTCGAGTTTGAAGACATTCAAACAGACAAATTCAGTCAAAACTGAAAAATAATCCTGAGTTGCGAGTTGCCCTACTTTAAGTACAAATCATAATTTTGCAAATTCAAAGCTTTGATTCCTCCAAGAGGAAACATCAACAAAGATTAGTCCCCTCACTGTTAGAATAAATGCATTTTTAAACAGGTCTTGTATTTGTTGGTTTTAAGGAGGATTTTCTGCTTTTTCTGTGAACAATTTCTGAGACAAGAGCACTTTGAAGCTGTTTGTTTAAGGTCCTGGAAGGTGTGTATCACTATTTGATGAGGTGTGGACTAATGATTAATCAAGAAAATACCTGACAGATTAATAGACAATGAAGATAGTTGCAGCCCGATTTCAAACAAAACAAGCAACTTGTTCTTGTAACTTTCAACAAGCATTTCTTTATTTGTTTCAAATCAGTCTAGAATATAATTGACACATGGGTCCCTGATGAAAACATTTAGAAGCAGAACCACTTGATGTATTTCCCCATCTGCAAATTCAAAAGCTTTGTGTCCTTCCTCTTGCAAAACATCCAGAATACAAATTACACAAGAGCTGTCAGCCAAGAGTGAAAATGAATGAGGAAGCTGACAGGGAAACAGAGTAGATTAGTGCAGATTTTACAGTCTGAACGCTTTGTTTTCTGTTTTAATGAGGCTTTCCTCTGAGTTGACAGATCACCATTTGACAGTCCAGTAATGAGTGAGAATTCCCAGAGGAGGTTTTTAATCACAAAGCCTGATGCATGTTGGGATGAGAGGATTCATGCTGTTGTTGTTAATGTTTTCTTTTTAAACCTGCAGGCCTGGATGTTACAAAATGATGATGATCGGCCTCTGCTCTTCCACCACCACCACCATCATCATCCTCATCCTCATCATAAGCACAGTGGGTTTGCAGACAAAGCACAAAGAGAAAAAGCTTACCTTCTGCGAGCTCCACTTGCCTTCGTCGAAAATATCCCCGAGAATAAACACTATTTCGGGCTTGAGCAGCCACAAAGCGGTCTGGAAAGCCCTCTCCATCTGCCATTCCCTGTGCGTGTTTGGAGACAACAAGTAAGCGTTATGGCTTGTTTTTGTTTACACTCCTGCAGAGCCCTGAGCACAGACGATAAAAGAAGAGTGATGGATTGCATGGAGAAAAAAAAAATGACAACCCCTACCTCCTCAGCTTGTCAAACCAGTGTCCCCCCACGGCTCCCAGGAGGTGGGTGTCAGACAGCACCATGGCGCGGACAGATGTGGAGTCCAGCGGCCGGCCGTCGATGCCCTCTCCACCGCCTCGAGCATGGCTGATCTTCGGCCAGGCACACTTGAGTATGGTGGGGAAGTAGATGAGATACTCGCAGTAGAAGAAAGCACCGACCAGGAGAATCAGCACCAGCAACACCACCCATCTGGCGCTAAACCTCGGCATTTCTGCGTTATTCTGAGGCTGGGATGCCCTGACTTTGCGCACTGGCGGCGGTGATGGAGCGGTCCATGAGGCATCTTCTTCTCTCCAGACCCGAACACTGCTCAGGTCTCCAGCCGAGTGATGCTCATCATGGAGAGCCGCTCTGAGGCTGCGCCGGATAAACAACAAATAAATAAATAAAATACAATAATATATCCGTGTGGAGAGCTGGTGATTAAAAAATATATTGGATACAAAGTAAAAAAATAAATTCCTCTGCTCGTGGCAGCCGAGAGGAGCTGTCAGTCTGCCGCTGTTTCGAAACCAAAGATCTCCTCTCCGCTTTTAAATGTCAAGCTGGAAACAACACTTCCGGTGATGGGCTTTCAAAATAAAACTGTTTATAGTTTACAATAAACATTGTGCCTCAATGCATTTAAAGAACAATTGTATTTAAAACGGCAACTACTTTGCACACGTTATTATGTATGTATATTTTTGTTTATAGTGTATTTAATAGTAGGTTATTCTATAATAGTGTATTACTAATTTATTCTGTATATTTGTATGTTGTGTAATCTGGAAATACTCTTTAGATATGTATTTTTTGTATTGTTAATTTGTACATACAGTAAATTAGCTGTCTCTTTGTTTATTTTTCTGTTTACATGCTACCGTTACAAAAATAAATCCTAATTTAGGATCAAATAAGTACATTTGATCTAATCTAAATCTAACTATACAAATATGTGTTTGAGCAGTGATGAAAGAAGAGCAAAGTTGAGTTTTACTTAAGTTAAAATAGCAAAATCAAAGTGTAAAATCCTGTGTACTTAAATAAAATCACATAAGTAGCACACTATTAAAGTATCAGCAGTAAAAGTACTCTTTATGCAAAATGGGTAATTTCATTATAATACAAAAACGTTCTGAATCTAAGCTTATTTTGTTTCATTTACGAGATCCTATAGTTGTTTTCCAAATGCAAAATAGGGCAAATGTATTCAATCAACACATTTCATAACCAAAGGCAACCCAAAGTAATTGACAAATATTAAAAGGTAAAAAACGAACATACAATAAAAGGCAATACAAATAATTCAAGCAAAAAAGCACACAGAGTAAACCAATAAAAGCAACACACAACCACAAGCCAACAGAATGAATAAAAAACAATGAAATAAACACACATACCTCAACACAAAGGCAAAACAGCTCACTTCCGGTTTCTCTCTTGCTGACACCTGCGAGCTTGACTGTGTTTGTGGAGAAGAGGAGAGATGGTTGGCAGGGGAGAAAGTCATTTATTAAAAAGCCAAGCTATCAGCTGTCTGTAAACTATAAAACTATTGATAAATGTAAGAAGAAAAATTGCGTTTGTCAACAAAAATACCTTTAGATGGAAATGATCCAACAACTATGGGACAAATGGGATTAAGTGATTAAGAGACAATCTAATCAGCCTGAGCCTCCTTTGTGTTCGCAGCTCTGAAACTAAAACCAGAGTAGTTTGAAGCTCACAGGAAGTCTCTCTGACGAAACTCACTAATCACAGCCCACGGTTACCTGCTTAACCAGTTCTGATTTAAAGACTCAGTCAGTCATGTATGTTCTTCCCACACATGCCTAACAGGCCACTGTCGTTCTCCCTTTGCTTCTAAAACATTCCTCGCAGCTGCAGAAAAACAGACTTTTTGTGCAAGATTTGAGTCATGCAGAATGAGGAAGCTGCAGGAGTGAAAAGTAGAGCAGTGCACAGCAACATCCCAGGAGGGGGGGGGGGGGGGGGGAAGCTGACACATGACAGAGTGATTAAAGGACAATGAAGACTTATGATCGAGAATGAGCATTTTTGTCTCAAGAAAACCATTATAGAAAAGGGTGTGGAGCCTAACGATCTCTGATCCACTCCAGATGTTCAAACGTGCTTTGGTCCACACTCCCAACAGGCGTTGAGGACATGAGGAGTATATTTATTCTAAACTGTCCTTCAAATGTACAGCTTTATTTTAAAGCCTCAAACGGAGACCCTCAGCTTTAAGTGTGAAAGAGAAAGTGCTGAGAGATTCAGAAATACCAATAAACACACATCCATGAGTAATTTGGAGTGACTCCTTGGAAAGAAGCAAGAAATGCACTCTTTTATGCTAAAAATCCTTTAATTCACAGTCAGTTATTACTGGGGACAATGAGATACTCAGTAGATTTCTGGAGCTTTATAGGGGGTCGTTAACCTAAGGGAAGCTCAAAATCTAGATACAAATGGCAGAATTCTTTGGCTGAAGTCAGTTTTAAGGCTATAGCATTCAGTATTTCTCCACATTTATTTAATTCCCAAAGTAAAAACTCATTTGAATCGTCATTTAGAGCTTTTAGTCAGGAGTTAAAAGGTTGGTTACACTTAAAAAACAAAATGTGAGAGTTTGTTAATTACAAGGCTACAGTGTAACCCACACACAAACAAAAAACATTAAAACAGCCGGGCACTGTAGAACATTTTATGTTAAGAAAATACTTATAGTGGACTAATTTCAGCTGTGGATTAATACATATCGATGTGTTTTTGGATTAACTAAGTATACTATAATTAAGGAGGCGTGTGGCGCAGTGGGTTGTGCGTTGGTGTTCGAATCAGGGGGTCACAGGTTCAAACCCCACTGCAGTCAGCATGTCGTTGTGTCCCTGGGCAAGACACTTCACCCCAAATTGCTCCTGTGGGGATTGCCCACAGTATTGAGTATGTAAGTCGCTTTGGATAAAAGTGTCTAACAAGTGACATGTCATGCAATGTAATTAACTGGAGCACTATGGCACAGAGTAAAAACATATCAGGCTATATCTAACTTCTCTAGGATACAGTACTTTTATTGTCCTTGGATTAGTTGCCAAAAACAACAACAACTCACCTGCCCCTTAACAAACCGTTACTAATAATTAAAAAAAATCAAGTAACACACATGATAAGTGTATTCCTGTTATTGTGGGGAGGTCGTTTTTAGATTTTTATGTTGAGAAATAAAAATTGTGATCAATAAAATTAAACATAGTTGTCGGATTAGCCACGTTATTATACATCTGTTCTCCCAGCTGGCTCAGTGTGGGTTGATTCTCTCAGGCTTCCTTAACGCAGCCAGGATTATAATATGGAAGACTGCCTTAATATGAGGACTGAATCAAACTCTGGGTGATTAAAGCCTCAAACTGAAACATCAGAGTGGAAATTCACTAAAATGTTGGGTAGCTGCCTCAGATTCATTAATGGAGGGGTATTATTGGACAGTAATTTGAAAAAATGAAATGAAAAAAGGCCTTAATACCGTGGGTTGCTGGGGAGGATCATGTGACCTGTCGTGCTGTTGTGTTTTCTGTGTGTGTTTGTGTACTTTGATACCTGCAGAATACTGTAAAGACCCAGGATGTTTGAGCAATAAAGAAAAATCCATATGACAAGAGAAATTAACAAGAAGGTCTATCAAATAAAAAACTCTGAGTCCTTAATGGCCTGATATGTGTAGGCAATGCTATCGTTTACGTAACACCTGAATGCGACAAAGACAACATTTCCCTGAGTCAGGTTTTACTTTACAGTAAAAGGCCACCCTGCTCGTATTAAAGTCCATTAGGTAAAGTATTTGCTCGTCCCTTTTAAACACGAGTCCAAACCAGAATGTGTTCATATTAAATGACTCTGACTGCTCGGCACTCATTAGAAGCTGTTCGTGCAGATGTTATGCAGCGCTGGTCAAAAGAGAAAATGTAGCTGTGATCCCCCCCCCCTTTCCTGAGACCTGCCAACGCTGTTTCACCACGGCTGAATTTAAATGTGTGACTCAGGCTGCCTGTCATGTGAGGGAATAATCTTTCCTTTAGAAACATTTCATTTTGGATCTGAAGAGAAGGACATGCAGTTGTTTGTTCTCCGATGTTTTACCCCCCGGAGAATATGTTATTTCAAACTTAAATGAACATTTCAAGGAGCAGGTCACCTCATGTCTGGTTAACATGTTGCCACAACCAGCAGCCTGTTAGCTTAGCTTAGCATACAGATTGGAAACAGTAGGGAGCCGCTAGCCTGGCTCTGTCTGAAGGTCCCTACTTATTAACAAATTGCCTCTAATTTGTAAGTACAAGACCCAAAGATTTTAAAATTACAGGTTGTGGTTTTACTGGAAGTTGCGTGCAAAACAGTTGCCTGGCAACCAGCTGAGGATCCAGGATGTTACTGCTCTTGTCCAAGACATATTTGGCAAAAACCCAGATGTAACACAAATAGTTTACAATAAAAAAAACAATTTGAAGTACGTGTTAAAATGTTGAACTATTCCTTTAAATGTCCAATATTGTTGATGACACCCCCCCAGCCCTTTGATGTTTTATTTTATTATTATTATTATTATTATTTGTATGTATTTATCTTTTCATATGTCTATATTGTTATTATTTGTATTGATCTCTTTTTGTACTTTTTTTGTTTTCCCTCTTATGTTGGCTATGTACAGTATACAGCTAAATGAAAATGGAAAAACTGTTGACCAAAATGTGAACATGTATGTATAATGAAACTGAATCTGAAATAAAAACTAAGAAAAAAAAAAATCCAATATTGTTAAGAATCACTTAAAAAATAAAACAAAGCCATTAAGTAGAGTCTTTATGTTTAATTTTAATTAAAAGTTGAATGTTTATGTTACAACAAGGTCTCCATATGCACAGTGTTTCTCGATACCTAGGTTGAAGAAATTTCCTTTTCCTCCTTTAAAGGAACTGGTGACTATTCTCGCCCAGCCGTGTTCCCCCTGAAGACAAAACAAAGCATACATTAGTTATTCTGCGGGCCAAAAACCCAAATCAATGAATTTCATGTACTGAAAAAACACTGTCTGGTAGTTAAATGGATAACAGAGTAAATCCATGACTAGTAAAGGCTCAAGGCTTTTATTGTCATATGTACATAGCTACAGTGTAGTTATGACAATGACATTCTTCTGTCACAGGCTCCTCCAAGTAAAGTATTTAGGTGTGCATGTTTTAGCTTCAGAGGTGTTTCATTCATTCCTGACTGGGTGTGGTGCAAAGAGAGAAAGAGACCAACCCAGAACTCTCCCCAGGAGTTCCTGACGATCCAGTACTCGGTGTCGTCCTCCGCCACGCCCCACCCAGCCACAGAGATGATGTGATTGGACAGAGACAGCGGGTGAAACTCTGAGAATATCCCTCCCGAATATTCCACCAGGCCGGCGGTGGCCATCAGGGCACAACTGAAGGAAAGAAGGAGAGTTGTTCAACCTGACTTCGTCTACTTATGCAGCAAGTTTAATAAGAAAATGCAGCCTTTTGTGATTCTCAGAGAAAAAGTGAAATAATATATTGTAAACTGTAAAAGGATGACAGTAAAATAATGAAATGCTAAAATTGTGGGGGAAACTTCTGAAGCAATTGGAGTCAGAGAGACACGAGGAGAGCTGGAGCTTTGATGGCAAACACTGAGGGTTTATTCGGAGCTTCGGCCAGAGAATTCACAAGACATGTCACGGGCCACGGTCTGACCACACAGATGAGATGCCACAATCAATTCTCAAGAACCCTCCTGTAGCTCGAGGTTTTAACTAGTTCAGAGTGTAATAATCAACATTCTTCAATAGATAGACTAAACAGCTGAGGACACTGAATCACATGTGTTGTCGCTTATGGCTCGGGGTCATCTACACCCCGAGAAGGATGTGTTCCAGGTGTCCCACAACAATAACTATCTCTGACAGAGAGTTGCCCGGTCATAAACTGGCAACATCAACAATATGCTAGGGCAGCCACTCCTTAAGGGAGATAGCGGCTGCTCAAGGCTGGTCAGCTGCGTCAGAGCGCGAAGGAGGACATGCAGGGCAAATTATTTCCCAACAAAAATCAATAAATGAAAGTCAATAGAATGAAGTAAATAAACACTAGGGATACAAAATGATGAACAAGAACACAAGCTTAAAAAATAAGGCTATAACATAACATCAAATTGAGAAGAAGAAGAGGAAGACTCTTCGTTAATCCCACATGGGGAAATTCAGTTTAAAAAGATTATTGTTGGTTTTTATTTCCTTATATAAAAAGTCCTTTGTTGACACTATTTTTCAATAAGATTAAAAACTCTTTATCGATTTCAAATTGGGAAACTTTTTAAATGTTAATAAATAAAAATGTGAAAAGAGACTTGGGTTAAAAAAGGAGTCAAATAGATTTTCACATTTCTTTCAAAGTGCTTTCGGCTGTTCAAGCAGGAACACAAAGCGTCCTTGTAACCAACTGTGGGATCTGTCAGTGCCAAATTCCACGAACACAGTTTTCTGCAGTGAGTCTGCAGTCAGAGCTTCTCTAAAGCAGTTTCTCCTTCAAGGTCTTTTATTGATATTATATGTATACAAGTTTTATTTGGATATATAAACTCAGATTTCTCATCTTATTTTAAGCTTTTTAAGTCGCAATCCTATAATTTCCATACATTTCCAAAAGTTTGATCCAATCCTGGAGGTGTCTGGATAAATCCAAAGGAACTGGGGGAGGAAGACTTACTCTACCTGATGGGCCCGTTGGTGTAAATCTCAGCTTTTATCTTGTCTCTTCCAGAAACTTCTCCGTAGTCGCCGACTTTCCACAAAGTGTAGTTCTTCACCACAGCACACGACTCGAAGGAGCAGGTGCCACACTGGTTAAACTGCTCACACTCTGAAACAAATCAGATAGTTTAATATGAAGAGCCGCACAAACGGTTAACTAATTCACTTTTATTTTGATGAGTATGATAATCGATGAACTGTTCAAAAAAATCTGTTTTCACCCTCTCAAATATGCAGATTTCCTTCTTTTTTCTCAGTTTTATATCACAATAAATGAAAGATTTTTGGAAGATTTTTGTACTCAAAAATAGGATTTAAAGACACCCTCTATGATATTGTTAATTTGTTTTGTTTGAGACTCAAAACAGCTGCTTTCAGGAACAACTGGAGACCTATGATATTGTTTAAATCGACCAAATAATATATTTGTTTTACAAAATGACAAACCTGCCATCATCTGTTCCTAAAAATGAAAAATAAAAATACATTTTAAAACACTACAACCAACCTGATGATATCAGTTTACAATATAATAACACTTCTCTACACTTTTTAGACTAAACACAAAGAATTGCCAAAAATAAGTGGACTCCAAACCATTACACCGATATTTGACTATTATAAAAAAGTTTTAAAATTAAGATTTCCCTCGTTGAAACTAAGAGGTCAAACACAAACAAATTAAAATCCTTGCACCAGGTTGTCGATATACTTTGGGCTAAATAGTGGAAACAGTATGCAGGGTGATCAGATCCATCACAAGATAGAAATGGTTTATTTTTGTACTTTGGTCTTTGGCTTGGTAGTTGTTGCAGGTTTCATCAGGGATGCCCTTCCTGTGTGCGTAGGCGTAGACTCTCAGGTGATCTCCTCCGTAACAGGAGCCCGCCCGACCGCAGTCGATCACGTTCTGCACCGACAGGTAGGCCGACGGCCACACCCCTCCTCGCTTTATGTTGATGCGGTCTTGGACAAAACAATAACAATACAAATGTTGAAATGGGAAAACAATTTTATCTTGTCAGACTGCATGTTGCTGACTATAGCACAACTAAGGATGACAGGTATTCATTGAGATCAACCATCTTGTTTCCAAAGGGGGAAATTCAGTACATGACACAAAACAACACATTTGCACACACAAAAGCTCTTCTAGGTCTAACCTACTTACACTCTACACATAGAAATACAAAGTTGTTTACATGCCCCTGTATTAGGTATACACTATTTCCATCTCTTAAGATAAGATGCTTTCGAGATTTAGAAAGGATCTGAGTGAACTGGACAGGTTGTTTTGTAGGCTAGAGCTTTAAATTTAAAAGCACATCGCCCAGTTTTTTTAGAAATTCAAGTAAGCCTTAGAGACTATACAATGACCTTTTTAAAATCGTGGCTCAAAGTGATATCTATATGATATATTGTGGAAAATAATTGTACTAAATATATTAATGTATGTCTGTCTGTCTGTCTAAAATATATTTTACATTAATCCCATCTTTTATCCACCCCCCCCCCCTTGGTTACCGGCCAGTGCGCTGGTGGCCCCCATGGCCCAGCAGGAGCCGCAGTACTGGGGGATGTGCTGGTTTCGGGTGGTGCTCACATAGTTCTTCCCCTCGATGTTCCTCCAGTCCCAGGACGGAGGAAGGTCCGACACTTTCACATACTCATGTGGCCGGGCCTTTGTCCTTAAACATGTAAAAAGGGTAAGTCATACAAAATAGTGGATAGAATATAGAAACACATGACATTATATCAGAAAAAGTCACAGTTCTAATTTGTACATTTAGATGAATGTACCATAAGAAATCAAGTTGTAATGATCACTGTCATAAAATCCCCAAATAAAGTAATACAGTTTCTACAGAAATTGGCATGCTTTCATTGACAAATTGTTGCCTCTAATTTGGTACAATGACAGTTAATCAGGCAATGCTCTTCCCATTATAATAATAATTACTCTGCAAGCCATGCAGGAATGGGCAACAATCAATATATCTCTATTCAAACCCTATGATAGCTATTCAATATGTAGGCCAGTTGATTGTTCAATTGAAGGGATATTTCCAAGATCAATACCATGTTATGATTTATAAGAATATAGTAGGCTACAAGCGTGTAATATCTTCACATGTCATATCTGTGTAAAATGTTGATATCATTTCACATTTTGCTGTAAATAATTTCTATATGTAAAACCTAAACTTGGTCAGATTAACCATATAACCATTAAAATGGTGATTATCAAGGGAGACATACAACATAATATTGCAAAATGCATAAACAAGACAATATAGCAGAGCAGTAGAATTTCTCAGATAGTTCACTTAAGTAAAAGTAGTAATCCTACAGTGTAAAGATATTCAGTTTAAAATGTAAAGAACATTGTAATTACCAAAATAATTCATTATGCATGATGGCCCATTTTAGAATGATAAAATACCACTAAATTACAACAAGTGATTGATATGCGAGTATCACGGATTGTGCAGCTAGTTAAATGTGGAGCTCATATTAATAACAGTATATTCTGCTGGGTAGCATACCGTTATGTATTAGTGGATTAACATGTGTTGTTGACGTTTTATTTTTGGATTAAGCCTACCTTTCAAAACGGTAACGTTACTTAAAACAGTACCTGAATGAGAGTGGATGTTTAAATTCAATTGTACCACTTTTTATATTAACTTTAACACAAACATAGACCTTTTTTGTAGAAAACGTACGAAGATTTCCGTTTGTTTACTCACAACAACAAATCAAAATCCCTAAACTGTGCCCTGTCAGAGCAACACGAACATCATTTCTCCACTTACTTTACAGAGTCTGGAGTCTCGTCTCTGATGGGTTTGTAACACGGTTCAGATATTAGTCTTGAGGAGATGATTTGCATGGAAAACGAAGATAAACAAAGCAGCAGCGGTATGTTTGTTATTGAAGACGCCATGTTGGATTTCCTCTGTTATGTGACGCACACGCGCAGCCAGCGCCCCCTGCCGGCTCCTGTTACCATGACAACAGCGTCCCACAGGCAGTTGAATTGATCGTAAACACGATACATGTATTATTATTACATTGATATTAAAGCTGTTGATTATATATGGTAATTTTTACACTTAATTTACCTTTTTAATACTAACCCAAGGGATTCAAATGGCAAATATTACAACGAAATCTTTGAACAAGCATTCATAGGCCTACCTTTTGTAATTTGTAATTTTATGTTAAATTAGTTAATTAACTTAATTTATCCGTTAATGGTTTTAATGATCCCTTATGAGTTGGGTAAGTACATGGCTGAAGTATTTGTACATTGAAATGTTATTTTAATAAAACAAAAACAACAAAGTAATCCTTTATTAGACCAAATTAAATGAAAATAGTTTTTGGGATGTTTGTTTTGTCGATTATTTTATGAAATATTGTTTAGATGCATACACATACACATATATAAAAGTCTACTTTGTTGCTCACCAAAATGTTAAACAATCAAACGAGTCAATCAACTAAATAATAATCCATAGCTTAATTATTATGTACATTTTTGTATTTTTAAAAGTAGTTTATTACTAATGTGTTCTATACTTCTGTCTCATCTAACACATCTCTATTTTGCTTTTCACCACAGTGATCAATGTCTATATGTGTCAATAAAAACAGGTGTTACAGCAGTGCAGGTTTAGCAGCGTCAGCAGAAAACTTTAAATAACATACTCAGTTACAATCACATTAGGACTAATGCAGGGACTGATGATTGGTTTGGTTTTCATATGCAGCTCCTAACAAGGTTATGAAATCACAGGATGAGGCTCAACTTCAATCAAGGTTTGTTTTTGTGACTGGGAAGCACTATTGTTTGTGCTTTTAATGATTACACTAGAATCAGATTAGATGTGCATTAGCTACCTAATGAACCCCCAGCAGGAGTAGAGATACATCACTCACCAGCTATTCTTGTTGTGACATCCATCTTCAGGTTGGGATGATGCTTAGCAGTTCATATCAAATCTGCTGAGTAGTAAGAGGAAAGTATGTTCATGCGTTAATGTCGGTGTCAAAGGTGGAAGATGGGCTCTAAAAAAGTAATACGATGCAAACAACCATAATGATAATATCTCTGTAGTATATATATACATGCAATATTTCTGGGAAGTGAGTACATTAACTTTTGGCGCATTCAAAGCAGGACCCCGAACGATTTAACAACTGGCTCTTAGTCTGCCATTGATTTGTTTTTAAATATAGAGATGTTTTAGGTCATTTTGAAATGTATGAAATCACGCAGCCTCTTTCAACAGCAGTACAAGTTGCAGAAGTAAAGTAGGTACCAGGAAAATATAAACAGCACTTCATCACAGAGCAAACATTGAACCATGACTCTGAACATCTGGAAATGATGATGTATGTGACAGTGAGGATGGGGAGGTTGTGTTTTCCCAGAAGGAGTCGCTCACCTCAAATCATTTATTAGTCTCCACTCAAAGCTCATGGAACCATTCGCAAACAAACCTTCTGCTATACGGAAAATGAAGTAAACAGCTATAATTCTGGGCTGACAAGTCGACCTCAACCTCTGACTGGATGAATACAAAGAAAACTTTCTTGGTCCTCATGGACATGAAATAATATTTTTGTAACTAAAATATATGAAATGGAAGGTTCATTTTTAATGTAAACATGCTTAGTCTAAACTGAAACCAAACAAATCGAGTAAACTTCATTTCACTAGATTCAGAACGCAAGGTATGCACATGTGAATGAGTACAAGGAAACATCATTTTCAAATTATTTAAAGCCTAACCCTATTATAATCATCTTCAGGTTCATATTTGTATTAAGTGCCTCTACTGTGACATGTCTCCATGCTTTAATGTTCAAAAAGCTCTTTATTTCTCTCATTCTGCCCGTGCTGCAGCACCTCTTTTCACCCTCTGTCTGAAACCATCCTCATCTTTTAGTCATTGTCTCTGTGTTTTCTCTGAGAGCAGACACGTCTCTGTGTGTGTGTGTGTGTGTGTGTGTGTGTGAGTGTGTGTGTGTGTGTGTGTGTGTGTGTGTGTGTGTGTGTGTGTGTGTGTGTGTGTGTGTGTGTGTGTGTGTGTGTGTGTGTGTGTGTGTGTGCGTGTGCGCGCGTGTGTGTGTGTGTGTGTGTGTGCGGCAGACACCGCCGACTCCTCTTGAGACGTCCATTGTGCTGCGACACACAGAGACTGTTGTCTGCTGCAGGACCAGAGGAATGAAGTCCCGACGACCTTTGACCTCTGAGATCATCGCCGCTGCGTTGAAAGCCGAACTTTTCCCCACTTTGGCACTTCTTCAGACGCACAAACAGTCCTCAATAATACATGGCCTCACAACATAAGGCTGCTCTTTAAATCTGAGTGCTGTAACTCTTTCGGGCTGTAATGTGATGTTACAGACATCCCAGAGGTAATACAAGAGCATCTGTCAACATATCAGTTCTTTCTGACGAGGCCTACATCCTGGATGTGTGCATTAACATGAGTATCTTCCTGCCAGCTAATGCCGAGGCGATGACACCACTAACAGACCTTTGGATAATGTATGCCATTATACTTCTTTAAACCATTCTCACAAAGAGCATCAATCACAGATGCATAAGGCTGTATCTTTAAGGGATGCAGGACAAATGAACAGAACTGAAATGATTGTGCTGCCGTAAGAAACCAGGTCTAAAAGCTATTTTGTATTACGAATTAATAGTGATAGCTGAAGCTTGAGTTTCTTCAGTAAGCAGCCTGGATTTACAGATGCCACAGGCTTTCATTCTAGACTGAAATATCTCAACAACTACTGGATAAATAGTTATTTTATGGTATTCATGGTTCCCATAGAATGAATACCGCTGACTTTGTCGATCCCCTGACTTTTAGCGTCACCAGCACATCACAGAAAAATATTTAAAAACCTGGCTCAATGGAATATCCGCAGATGGTGAATCCTAGTGACATTGGTGATTCCCTGATTCTTCCTCACGTGCCACAATTAGCTTAAAGTGTGATTTTGAGAGGAATGTCTCAACTACAATGGTAAGGATTACAATGACATTTATCAAAGACATGTATGCGCCCCTCAGGATCAATTCAAACCTGTTTATTGATCCCTTTATCAAGGACAAATCTTAGTTTATAGCATCATGAGATGGGTTGCCAATGGTGGTCATTTCACTAATGTAGTCCAGACTGAAATCACAACAACTACTTCATTGATTGTCAATTGATTTGTAGATACAATAACGGCTCCCAGAAGATGAATCCTTGTGATTTTGACATGAGTTTAACTTGTAGATTTGAGTGAAATGTCAGTACACTATCGATGTTTTTTGGTAAAATTGTGCGCACTCATTCATGTCTCCCTCAGCATTGATTGTTTCTCTTCTCTTTTCCCTTGACTTTTTATTGAACGCCATCATGAGGCCGAGATTTACATTTCCTGAGTACTTTTTAAAGACAATACCTGAAAAATAAATGGAGTTGCCTCGTTAACTCCACAGCCTTACTGTCAGCCTAGATGTACTTTGTATTTAGTGCTAATTTTTCAAAAGCATGCAAAACATCAGCATGTTGGCATTGCAATTATAAGTTAAGCATGCTAATGTAATCATTTAGCATAAAAGGATGTATAGTTGACATGATCTCATCTGCAAAAACTACTGAACAGGAGGTTTAATCACATCTCTTGAAATCTGGGAGTTTCCATTCAGCGATATACACTAAATGTCTGTCTAAATTCCAGAAGAGGCGATCTGCAGCCGCAGCTACCACAGAGGACACTAAAAAGCCCACTTAAAGCAGAGGCACCTTTAGAGTGCATGGAAAGTGCATCCATGTAAATATTGAACAAACACACAGTGTGGATTTCACTCACGGATCAATATTGAAGCAATCTGCACGATAATCTCATTTGCACTTCTGTTTTCTTCTTGGCAGAAGCTGCTGCAGACTGGCAGTGTGGGATCTCCAGTGAATTTACTATAAACTCAGCGTTTAGAAAGATTTTCACAAAAGTAATGAATATTTTATGTTGGCAGGGTTTCTGTGATAGACTAGACAGAAAGGACCTTTTTTGAAAAGAATAAAACAATCAATCTGCTGCTGAGGATTGTGTGATGTTGTGAATACATAGACTGACTTTTGAGATGCTTTGTTAACTGTTTCCTTAAATCTAAAAGATTATTCCTTGCAATATTTAAGCAAATAATGACTCTAATTTCATGAAGCATACATAATTTCTGCTGTAAATATTACCCAAGGATGCACACTATATGGTCAAAAGTATTAAGACATCTATAAATGAAACCCTTGTGACTGTGAACATCACATTGAGCACATTTTTCTCTGTGAGACTCTGACTGAGATTAAGAATCTCTTTTCCAAGTGACACCTGGCCAAGAAAGGCAGCATCACAAAGAAATATACACAAAAGGAGACAAATCTCAAAAGGAACCAAAATTAATTTGACACTCAAAATGCTACGTTCCATAACCAGGTAAATACATTTAAAAAGCAAATGCGAGGCAAGTGAACTTTTACCAAAAAGCTATTTATTTAAGGGTTTATGCACCGGGGATTGTAATGTTGAACCTTTAACTACAAGCACTACAATGTAGGCAATACTTTAAGGTACGTTAAGTTAAGATAAGATAAGATAAGATAAGATAAGATAACGGCATCTATTGCACGTCTGTCCGTCCTGGGAGAGGGATCCCTCCTCTGTTGCTCTCCCTGAGGTTTCTCCCATTTTCCCTTTAAACTGTGGGGTTTTTCTCTGGAAGTTTTTCCTTGTACGGTGTGAGGGTCTAAGGACAGAGGGTGTCGTATTGTCATACTGATATTCTGTACAAACTGTGAAGTCCACTGAGACAAATGTAATATTTGTGATATTGGGCTATATAAACAAACATTGATTGATTGATTGATTGATTAATACCTC